CTCCACCTCCAATAGACAGGAGTCCAAAACAACAACACAAGAGAAAGAGTTGCAAACTTGTCGCTGAGCTACAATTGTTATTCGATTCATAACATGGAGGCGGCTTTGCTTGTGGAATCATAGTTGTTAGCCATAAAAGAGCCATTCCCTTCAATCAAAGCAGTTCAGATGATTCCATTAAAATCAGAAATAATATAGTAAATTTGAAGAACCAAATCTGGTCAGTAGTGTAATTTTTTCCGGCAGCAGCACGACTACTTTCATGCACCAACAATTGAAGCCTTAAAGAAAGATGCAGAGGATTTAAAATTCTTTAAGTTATTCTAGTGTAATGCGCAACAAATTATCTTCTAAAAGTCAGGTTCTTTTTCAGTTTTCTTCACTGCACATGAAAGATCAATGGAGCAGGATTTGCAACTGAAACTAAAATATAAAGCTGTTGTATGTGTGAAGAAACTAATGGCCTGCATTTTGGGATGACATAATGCCATATATGATTGGAATCCTCTCGGACAAAAAAAAGGATGATTATGGAGTTCCAACCAAAAAGTTCAGAAAGAGCTAATGTAAAATGAGAGTGCTAGAAGCAGAATTAGACAAGAAAGTCTAAAACATGCCTTCTCTGCAATTTGTATCACTATGTGAACATGTTGGTTCATAATTCAAATGATCAATTATGTTTCTAAGCACGGGGTCCGAACAGATAGAATTATGTCATTGCATAAAGATACAACGTGAGAAATGATGTATTTTTCCGAAGCATCTGACAGTAACCTGAATAGTATTTCCACCCCTTTCAACAAAACCACCAGCAGGAAAATGATTTGCGCCATTCTTAAGCAACAATGGTGTAATTTTAAAGTACACCCCAACTCCCCCTTCTCACGATCATTGGAATATTCTTGTACTTTTTAATTTTTTTGGGTGGCAAGTTTAGTATAAAAAAGCTACTGTATCCGTTGGACTCGCCAGTATTTGGTATTGAATTTCTCACGAGAGTATTCAAAATAAATGCCATGGACATGAGATTGATGTTTCTAACTCTTAACCCCAATTTTCTTATGAAACTTAGCCATATTCCCTCCGTTTGAATTAGCTGGTTTTAGGGTGTTTTTAAAAAATTTTACTATTATAGTGTATATGAAAAATTTTTACTATAAAATTTTTTTAAAATATTTGACATATTATATGGATGAGATATTTTTTGAGTTATTATGTATTACTGTAGTATTGTATTTGAAAAAATGACCAATCCAAACGGATATGAGAAAGCCTTTTCTTCGCAACGGATCTTCTGTCCCACATCCTGTGCCACTCTCTGTGCCACTTTTTATTATATTGCTATTTCTCCTATATAAATATCACATTTTAGTTCTTTTTTGTTTCCTTAAGATCCAATAACTATTAATTGAGTAATACACAATATTTAACAAACTCAAAAAACCAAAATGCATAAAAAATGAGATTTTTTATGAATTTTCTGCTGTATTTTTTAATTTTCTATTATATATTGCTTTTTTGAAGCTACTGTATTTATATTTTACTCAATTAATAGTTATTGGATCTTAAGGAAACAAAAAAGAACTAAAATGTGATGTTTATATAGGAGAAATAGCAATATAATAAAAAGTGGCACAGAGAGTGGCACAGGATGTGGGACAGAAGATCCGTTGTGCCTTTTCTCCCTCTTTAACTTTATGAACCTATGCAGAATTGAAATTTAGTGACACATGCTTAATTATCAATGATGGCAACGGGGCGGGTTTGGGGCGGGGGACTGACTACAAATTCCACCCACCCCCGCCCCGTCCCCCATCCCCCGCTCCCCCCGCCCCACCCCGTTTTCCCCGCAGGTGCTCCCGCGGGGCTAATCAAAATTTGTTATATAATTTTATTATAGTTAAATTTTATCAAATAATCAAGTACTAAAATATCAACATATCAACAAATTATTATTCATTGTAATTTCACAATTGAAACTTATAAAAATAATCAAACAAAAGTTATTTGAATACAATCCAATATGATGAAATAAATACAACTAAAGTAATCAAGTTTTCACTTTTGGCACAAATACAATCACTAATTCATTATTATGCTTGTGCTTTTTTTTTGAGAAAAAAATGTTATTGTATTAAGTGTAATTAGGAATTTAGTATAAATGTATTAGTAAATTTAGTATAACCAATTAATAATTTGTATTAGTACACATATATAATTATTAGTATAATTGATAATATCAATTATATTACATATACTAATATACATATAATACATTAACTAATAATATCATTGTCATGAGTTTGTAACTAATTAAATTATCTATTATATATATAATTATATACATATATATTTTATATATTTATTTTTTTTAAAGCGGGTGGCGGGGCGGGGGTACACTCCCCCGCCCCATTAGCCCCCGACGGGCCACCCGCCCCCATTGCCATCCTTATTAATTATACCTTAATTTCAGCAATCTGCAGGATAGTTGCTTAGCTTCTAGATTATAATCTAGATTCCAAAATTAAAAATACTCACAACTAAACAAAAGCATTTTTATATGTTCTTCGCTCCTTCCTGGCAGCCAGATTGTAAATCAAAAAAAAAAAAAGCCAGGGATACTTTATAAAATTAGTTCATTTTCACAGTACAATCTGAAGTAGACAATGACATGATGGATGAAAATGCAAGAAATAGGAACAGACTGCTTCTTGTGCTATGAAAAATTAAACATAATCAAAATAAATATTAACTACTGAAAGCAATGAAGTGTGTAAATGGGATTTTACCAGAAGACTAATAACACAACCAAATAAGATCATCCGAAATCGACCCAGAAATGAATCTGCAACTATAGCACCAAGAAGGGGCATCAAATTTGTTGCTGCTGACCAAAGAAAGAGTATGTTGGACCCAGTAGCCATGTTCAAATGATACTCTCTTGTCAAGTACAGAATCATGTTAGGCTGTAGCCCATAGCTTGCCACCTGCGCAAGAGACTCATTTGCTGCCCCAGAAAAAAACCATTAAAACACAGAACGGTCAATTCTTAATAGAAAATTTCACTAAAACAATTCCTCAATAAACTTCAGTTAAACACACGTAGAATGAGAATCAGATATAGCCAGTTTAATAAGGGTCGTTTGTTTCTTGTTTTCAATCAAGAAAGAAAAAGGAGTTACCTAAAATGAATGGCATGGTTCTGAAGCCACCCTTTCCTGAAAAACCGTCATGATCATCATTAAGTAAAGGCTTTGTAATCAGACTTTCTCGCTCAGCATCAGCAGAATTCTCCATCATGTATGTAGGGACTTCTGCTTCTTCTTCTTCTACTGCAATAATATGTATCAAAGTATTTTGATATTGACTCTCGTCCAACAACCATACTGAGCACTGAAACTGTGAAACAATTATTAATATTTTATATGACTAATTCTATACTAAGCGACAGTTAAGTGACAGACACAAATATTTTATCTTCTTCTACTAGACTTTGCAGCTGCCGGTGCTGGTAGTCCATAACATTAGACAGAAGAGACAAGTGACTGGACTTGCGTCAAAACCTCAGGTAATTTGATATTTTTGGGTTGAAAAGGCTGAGCTCCAATGTGTTGGAATGTAATGATGTGACATAACCTAATGCCGCTGGCACAACTTACCTTTGTGATCCGTCAATTTCATACCAATTTACAATCCAACCGTCCAGATTGAATTGCTAAATCCCACCTAGATGCCCTCTTTAAACTGGATTGGGGTCTTTTACAATCAAACTTTTGATTGTACGGTACAATTAACGTGAAGATGGGTTTGATTTGAAATTGAATGGATGAAATTGATGGTAGGACACAATTTCTAAGGATTGTGAAATTTATTGTATTTCGGTGTATTATTGCATTGGTGTTCATCTTTATTGTGGTCGCGTCGAATACGTATTGTGCTATTGGTTACATTGTGCCATACAATTATACTTATAATGCGGAAGTTTATATTATAATTTGTAACATAGAATTAGAAATGGTGATTGTAGAAGCCCCTAATCCTTAAGTGTAAGCAAATTACCTTGTGGTCCTTTTGGATGGAGGTATTTGGATGGATTTGGATTTGAAATCCAAATCTCTAGTCCAAATAAGTGAAGAAATTTGGTTGAGAATTTAAAATTATGCCAACTACTCGATAGGCCTAATAATTTGTTTTTAGATTTTAGATCTTGTTATTACACGTTAATTACAATTCAATTTAGATTGTGGAGATTTGTGTCAGGTTCAAATTGGCCAAGGATAGTTAATCTTGACGATAACAAAATTTCTCACAGAAGGGATTTAATGTGTTGAAATGGATTTCTTTTTCTTTTCTTTTTTTGGGGTGTTGAAATGGATTTGAAAACCAACACTCCATATCTCGTTTCTCCAATAATCTGCATCTTTCCAATAATCAGTCGAGCGCCGGCCCCCGCCGCAGGTACCAGCGTCTCTTGTGGCCAGACAATATTGGCTCTAAAGAGAAGATGACTAGTTCCTTTTTTGGTGTTATTCGAGCACTTCAAACATGTAGTACAGACTATATCAATTGCAATGCCTTGATTCTTGCAGCCAAGTAGTACAGACTACAGGATCGCGTTCGGCCACGTAGAAAGAAAGCAAACATTCAATTTCTATCCCAAAGTGTTTTTATTAATTGTGAATTCTATTATCTTATGATATCTTTTGAGCCAAACGATATACTTGAAACAAGAGTTCATTGCCAAAATAACTCTCCTTCTAAAACATATACCCAAAGTAACCTAATGTTAAAATTTATTGCTTTTATGATCTTTTTTTTGCCACATAGGTTGCACATGTGTCAGGATAGAGATAGAGACACACTCTATTTCTTTTTTCCATCTATTTACCACTTGCCCCACTCTATTTCTTTTTTTTGGTGCTTCAATAGAAGGTTTTAAGCATTGTCGTCCTGTGATAAGTATAGATGGTACATTCTTATATGGGAAATATAAAGGAACCATGCTTATTGCAGTTTCAGCAGATGCAAACAATCAACTATTTCCACTTGCCTTTTCAATTGTGGAGGGTGAGAACAATGATAGTTGGGGTTGGTTTATGGCATGCATAAGGGAATTTGTCACTCAACGAAGAGGCCTCTGTGTGATATCTGACCGTCATCCAGGTATTATTACCATAGTGAATCAGGTTGGATCAGAGTGGATTGAACCATTTGCCGACCATCGTTTTTGCATCCGCCATCTAGCAAGTAATTTTAATACTAAATTTCATGACAAAATATTGAAAAACCATCTAGTTGCAGCGTGTTATGAAAATCAGGTTTTCAAATTTCAGAGAAAGATGGAAACAATTGGCAAGATAAATCCGAAAGCTCGAAAATGGCTAGATGATTTGCGAGTTGAGAAGTGGGCTCTAGCACATGATGGTGGCAAAAGCTATGGAATAATGACAACAAATTTATTAGAGGTATTTAACAGTGTGTTGAAGGGTGCACGCTCTTTACCAATAACAGCTTTGGTGCAACTTAGTTTCTATCGTGTCAACAGCTATTTTGCCATTAGACGGCAATTTGCAGTTCAAAGAAGTGTTAGCAACCAATCTTTCACTCCTTTTGTAGATGGAAAAATAAGTTCTTATGGGATCAAGGCAGGAGGACATGAAGTGGTCCTATTTAACCGAGCCACTGGTTCATTCAGCATTAAAACTGGTTGATCACCTATAAATAAAGAAAAGGTGGTCGTGTCCAAGTTGTCAAGTTAAAACATTGTTCCTGTCAAAAGTGGCAAATATTTGGATTCCCTTGCTCCCATGTAATTGCTGCATGCCAATATTGTGCCTCTATGATTAAAAAAAATTAAAAATTTTAGCTCATGTTGAAAACTATAAACTAGATTAAAACTTTCCTTTCTTGTTATCCTACGTGGCAATCAGAATAATTAGGTGGCAATAATAACATCATTATAGGAATAAAGTTTAAAAGTGAATCATATTGGGAATATTTTTTAGAAAGTGTGTTATTTTAGCAAAAAACTCTTTGAAACAATGTGTATTTCAAATCTATTCATTTTGCCTCAAAAAAGAAAATCTATTCTTTTGAAATCCATTCATTTTAATTTTCCTCTTGAATTCATGTTCACCGCCATACGTAACCTTAGCATAAATTTAACATATGTTACTTGAAATTTGTGGAAAATAATGGCAAACTTTTGTGGCGACTCAGAAAAATATTGTTTTAAGAATGGAAATTGCGGGTTAGTTTTTCAATCTCAAGCAATTTGGACAAATTTTTGTGGTAGATTGAGAAATAAAATAGGGTTAAGTTAAATTAGGGTTTAATTGGAAATTCAACCTATGTCAATTGAAATTTGTGGGAATTAATGGCAGATTCTTGTGGCCACTAAGTGAAAATATTGTATAAGAATGGAAAATTTCTTACAGCTTAGTTTTTCGACATCAAGTAATTGGACAAACTTTTGTGATGGATCAAAAAATAAAGTAGGGTTAAGTATTTAAATGTAAACTAGTATTTCATTAGCACAGTTCTTTCTTATATTTATATTAGTTGAAAATTTATGCAAGTATGAATAATTCAAAAAAGGATCGAATAATTTTCATACCTATTTATGAATATTTAAGTTAGAAAATTAATGTACCCAAATGTTCAAGTACCGTTTTAACTTTTGAAAACTTCTATATATATACACATTTATTTTAATATTATATTATGCATTAAATATGTAAGCTATATGAAAAGATTGATAAATATTATTTGAATGAATTATCAGATTTTATATGATTAAAAACCTAAAACTAAATATTTATACTCAACTAAATACCAAATATGCAAAAATATAATTTTCCCCATGAACAAATATTAATTTCTAGCAATGCTAGTGAAGTAACAATTAAAATAAAGTTAAAACATATAGATAAGATAAATTAAAGTGAATTTATAAATAAAAATTTAGTTTGTTAGAAGAGAGAGGAAACCTATAATGAAAATATAATATAAATTTATTAAAAAAGATATTTTGTTAGAAGAGAGAGAAAATATGAGAAAAGTTGGATACTAAAATGAGTAAAACCCAAATATCCAGATGATCCGGTGATTCTCTTCAATTAAGTATACCACTTAGAAGAAAGAATATGGGTAATTGAATTAAGAACTTTTAATGTGTGTGTGTATGTATGGATGTATATAAGGTAATAAATATAACGCAAAGCGCCCCATAGCCATAAATTACATAGCACCTTAGTTTATGGCAATAGCTTTATTCAATTTTTAACCTAAAGGTTTTAGCTCGAATAATTTAATAGTCAAGCAGAAGCCAAATTGATTTAAGTTGATATATCCTTGTATATTTAATTTAAATGTAAACACTCACATTTATATTTCCTTGCATACACACCCTCACATAGTACATTTTCACATTTTTAAAAATTTAACACCTAAGTCCTCTTTTAATTAGAATTAATTAACACAATATAAAAGGCAAAAAGATGAAAGATCTTCCAAAACATATGAAATGAATAAATAAAAGCAGAATCATATTTATGTGTGTATATACTTATCATCGATTGCATCGTATATTTTCACATTTTTGAAAGTTTAACACCTAAGTCCTCTTTTAATTAGAATTAATTAACACAACGTAAAAAGGTAATAGATGAAACAAGATGAAAGATCTGTCAAAATATATGAAACAAATAAATGAAAGATCATCAATTGCATCATTTATTTGGACCTCTGTGAAAGCAACAACTTCATTTGTATCTGCCTAGTTACATGTATGTACGCATTAAACTCCATGGATAACGGCATTTAGACTTTTAGGAATAACTTGACAATATATGGATGGCCAAAATAAAATCAAGTAACTGTTATAAGTTGAGTGCAACTATGAATCACGCCGCAGCTAACTCTGGTGGATGCGGGGTGTGGATTATGAGGAAGCGGGCCAATGAAAGTAGCACCAAGAGGTGGTATAAGTAGGGAACTGGCCCCAACTGGTAGGCAAGGCAAGGCAAGGCAAGGAAGCAGAGAGAGAAGGAAAACGATAGGAAAGAAAAGTGCCAAAAGGAAAAGGACGAGAAAGACGGAAGGGGAAAAAAAATGGGAGAAGCGAAAGGAAAATTCCAGTTTTCCCTCTATTCTTGAAAAAAAATCTCCTCCTCTCGCCGAAAAATCTTTTGTTGGATTGAATTGTCATAGCAAACAATTTTTTTTAACTAAAAAAATTAGATGGATTCGGCTCCGATTATCACTATGAGTCAAGGCATATTTTCAAGACCATAGTTTAATTATAGAAATTCTCACATTTGCTGCGAAACTCAAACATGCACCTTACTTAGCCAACATGTGGTGCCGTGGTTGCCAGCCATTATAAATATCCAGCCTTGACGTTTTCAGGCACTTCTTGTTGGGATCTTTTTCAAAACGTGAGGATGTCCTGTGATGCCAAAATTTTTGCATTACGTTCAGATAAGATAATTTAGGTGGAAGTTACAGGTGACGGATTTTGTATGGCCCTGGTAAGTGAAAATGGTTCTATCTGTGATAATTGCTAAACTGAACTTGGCTACCGCAATGAATGTTTGCAGTTTCTACCAACTTAAAAAAGAAAAATCATAATTTTTGCTACATGAATATATTAGGTGGTATTTGTAATATTCCAACCAAATGCTTATATGTGGACTTACTTCTCTATCAATGGCTTTAAAACCATCACGTCAGACTAGCAATCTGACTCCAATGGAAGGCAAGTGCTCAAAGCCATTGGAACACTCTCTTTTGAAACACATGATTAAAAGAGTTTAGATTTGCTAAAGTCTTATGGGATTTCTGAAATTAATCAAAGAGTATTACTGGCATTAATAGCAACAACACTGTATAAAATCAGTATTTGTTAGGAAATGTATCCCACTGTAATCAATAAATCTTGTAATAATGGACTATGGATGCTGAAACGCCCGTGTTACTATTGATCATTTGGAGGAAAAGGTCATAGTCGAAGACGAGGCATATAGAAAAAGAGACGGGTTTTTTTGTTATTTTATTTATTTATTTATTGTTTGTAAGTGAGAGATTTTGAACTCAGAATCTTCTACTTATAATCGCTCTACCTTACCACCTAATTCAACTCTCCTCCTAAGGAAAAGGAAAGGAGACAGTTATGAAAGTGGGGAAAGCAGTTAGTTGTCAACCTAAGTTTTTCTTCAATTGAATTAAGGGTTAATTACAATTTATCACTCAAAAATACACTTTGATTCTTACTTTACTCTCTAATTTTATTAATCACTTAACCTTGTGAGAGACAAAAATACCCTTCTATTATACCATTTTTTTGCTCTCTTTTAATTTGTAATCAAAATTAATTTTTTTTTCAAATTCTTATTTTTAAGCAAATAAAAAATTTTGCTAACAAAAACTTAAAGATATCCATTCTCTAATTTCTAATTATGAAGAAAATATATAGATTTTTTGCATAATTAGTTAATTATAAATCAATATCATTTATTCTCTAATTTAACAAAAAATTTGTATTCTAGTTTCTTTTAATTGGACAATACAAAGTCAATTGCTCAATGTTTTATAATCACACATTCACATGTTAGTTATTTGGAAATTTTTGTTCTTTTTTCCTCTAATGGATATTTGCTTATTAGGTTATTTTTTTCTTTGCCTTTTTAAAGATAATCCATTGTTGGTGTATTTCCTAATATACATACTCCTCTCATTTGAATCTTTACTACTATCAATTACAGTAGTTAAAATTAAACCACATGTTAAAATTCAATGAAAAAAGGAAACAAAAATTTCTCCATTATTGTCAGATCTAAATTTCTCTGATGGATTTTTTAATTAGTTTTTTAGGTCGGCAATTTCTCCATTATTATTAGATCTAAATTTCTCTTTAAATTTGAACCAGGTTTAATCAAATTTGATTGTCAGAAGATATGCACCAATGTATGGGATTACATTGATTCATCCGAATGCAAGATATATAGGAGCACCAATGTTATCTTTATTTCTATTGATTTCCTAGATCTATTGAATCTATTGATTTCATATCTATATGTATTTGTGTCATGTTTGTTTGATTTATTTTTTGCCATTAGTGGAGATTTATTAAATGAAATGATCTTTTTTTTTAAAAAAAATGTATACTTATAAAATGGATTCAAAAAGTAATGTACAGAAACATAAAAAATTTTGTCGTTTATTAAAAATTGTGTTGAACAATCAACACGGTTTAACTAAGTTCGAGTTACATTTATATTATCTATCTATGACATTGTGGTATTAAAGAAATGATTAATTTTTTATGCACTGATAATGTATTAGCTTTTTATAAGGATTAATTTTTTATGTACTGACCATGTATTAGCTTTTTATGCACTAACACTGTAGTGATTTTTTTACACTAGCAGTTTGAATATATATCACATATGCATGACTTAAATTTCAAATTTAAATTCATGTTATGTAACATGATTTAAACCTGCTAGTATAAAAATTTAAAAAAAAAGAATTACACACTAACAATGTATTAAAAAAAATTTATCCTAAAAGAAAATCCAAACCAAAGAAACCATCATGTCAAGCTAGCCATTTGAGGCTATGCATTCGGGCAACCTCAAAGCCAATAGACTCTTTTGAAACACATACATCAAAAAGGGTTAAAATGCAAAATGTTGAATTATCTTTAAAG